CCATACATATGGATTATGTTTTATTATAATCACTTACTCAAAATATTTTTGCATGTCAAATATAACAGCATACTCAATAGTGAAACAAATTCTTAATCAAAGATATATATATCATCTGCTATGTTTTATTAAAAGTATTCAAATTTTAATCTGATGAGGTTTTTTAATATAATGAAATACAGAAACACCTCAAAAATATAGTGGATTTGGTTCCACACCACAATAAAGCAAGTATTATGATAAAGCAAGCCACACAAAACTTTTGTTTCCCAGTGCATGTAAGTTATGTTTATACTATATGATAGTCTATTAAGTGTGCAATAGCATTGTCTTTAAAAATGTACATACCTTAATTAAAAATGCCTTATTGCTAAAAACATGTTAACCATCACCTGAGCCTTCTGCAAGTTATAGTAGTTATATCAAAGATCACTGACCAAAGATCGACTCAACAAATATAAGAATGGAAAAGTTTGAAATATTATGGGAATCACCAAAATGTGGCACAGAGATACGAACTAAACAAACGTTAGAAAAATGCTGATGGACTTGATCTACACAGGGCTGCCACAAACTTCTGAATTTGAAAAAAACACAGTATCTGTAAAGGGCAATAAAATAAGGTATGTCTATACTGATTTCATCCTCCTGCATTCATCTGATTGTTCTAAGTAACCATAACAAAGTTCTGACAATGGACCTCAAGTGTCTCAGAAGAGGTAGTGACTGAAGATGCCTTCATTATCCAAAAGGAAATCAGGCATACAAATAAAAATCATCATTGAACACTTGGTCCTTAGTCCTTACCTATATACCATTTACTACATAAAATTACTTTAATAACTGCAGTTTAAGGAAAAAATCCTACCTAGAAAACAACTCAACTCTCAACACCCATGTTCACAAATTACATTAAAATCATTACCTGCGTGAGCAATAAGCCGTGCTCCAACTAACTCCCCAACCATGACTGTAACATTGGGGGCAATGGCCATCATTCGGTTTTGCAGATATTCATAGAGCTGTGTTCTATATTCAGAGATTTCAATCACCTAGTGGAAGGAACAAAATGAATATGTCACAAAATAACTTAAGAGTATAAGTAGTATAAGAGTCACATGTCTAAAATATCAGTCTCAAAAGTAAAATAGAGCAGTTGTGCAATCCTGGGAAAATTAATCATTTCTCACCTCAGTTTCCAATAATAGGGCTATTGTGAAGATTCATTAGATAATGTATGTAAACAACCTATTACACTGCCTAAAAATAATATCAATATTAGTTATTTAAAAAAAACACTTCAAGGACTAGACATTTGTGTCATCCTCTGATTCTCGTATAGGTATCTTCAAACGAGGGGAAAAAAATTACAGGCTATAAACATAAATTAGAATTAAATAACTGAAGCTATAGTTCTGTGTCTTAATGAATTTATCGTTCAGACAATGCTAGCAACACAAATTAGATACTACTCTTCATTTTTAGTACGTTATTTCCCCCTCTAAATACATAAATCAAGATGGCATCAGATGAGGTAGTGACTGAACACCTTCATATTTATTTATCAGGTGAACAATACGTTTAAAAATCATCATTGCCATCAGAAAACTACACAGCTGGTACCATCACAACTAGTTTCTCTATGAGTATGGTTTACCTGGGTACAGAGATGCAGAATGTTGCAAATATCTTCTTCTGAAACCTCTGTTCCCATAGATATTTCTGCAGCTGCTTTCACTTCTGCTTCCACTTCTTCCGGCAGTAACTCAGAAAGTTTGGCCGAGGCATAATTCTTTCTATCGCCTATAGAATGTTTGCAGAGGATGAGGGAGAATCACTCTTGAACAAATTATATAAAATCCACCAAACAGTCAAAAGAAAAAGTAGAGATAAGCCAATGAAAAGGGTGCCTAAACAAAACAAAAAGTGAACAAGTTTGACCTAGTAATTTTCCTCATGTAAAGGCTTGATTTTGGAGTTTAAAACCTCTCCCCACCACCTGCCTCCAAAAAAAAAAAAAAAAGATAGATAGATAATAATAATAAAAAAAACCCTAAAATACACCATGGGATAGGACTTATAATATTGTGATAATTTGTAGCTAAGATTATACTAAAGCTAGGGCCATGATTTCTTGGGGGCAGTAATATGGTAATATAACATGAACCAAGTAAGTCATACTTATCAACAATCTTCAGGTTCCTCTACTAAGAGTATTACCATACTAATAGTAAACAACATAACACTAACAGTATAGCTAGTAATACTATTTTAAAATATTAGTAGTATTATTTTAGGCTATGCCCCATGCCCAAGTCCACAGTTGTTCCTATTAAAGGCATTTTCACTGAGACACATTCACTGTAAGAAGCCATTTCTAAAACAACCAAATTAGAGAACCATGTTCTCTGCTGCACAAGCCACTCAAATCAAAGTTAAATTTGTTCCCAGAATCTAACAGACATTAATATGGCTCCAGTCACAAAACACAGAAGACATAAAAAAACTCTGGGAGTTTAAGGAAAAAAAAAAATCTCATCACTGAAACTCATATATTAGGATTCAAATAAATCACTATTCTCAATGCCTTATAAAGTTTAAGGTACTTTATATAAAGTTACTCACCAACTTTCTGTAAACACTTGCAGTATGTCAAATTATCTGAAATAATTTTTCCCAATTCAGGGAAATGCCAGCCATACCATTCTCTACACCGCATAATGTAGTTGTTTAGTTCTTTATCTAAGTCATCTAACAAAGCTGCAGTAGATTAAAATAAAAAGAGAAAACAGGAACGTAAAAGGGTTTTAAGAAATACTGTGATGAAATATACATAAATCTACCATTTTAAGCCATTTTCAAGCACTCATTTCAGTGACATCAAGTTCATTCAGAATGTGGTGCAATGACCACCACTATCCATTTACAGAACTATTCCATCATCCAACCTGAAATTCTGTATCCATTAAATAATAACTAACTCCTCAATCCCCCTTCCCTAGCCCCTGGTGGTGATCTCATCTACTCTGTATCTCTGTGGAACTTGTCTATTCCAAGAACCTCATAAGCAGAATCACACAATACTCATCTTGTGTGTGGCTTATTTCACCTAGCACAATGTTGTCAAAATTCACCTACACTACAGCATGTATTACAACTTCTTAAGGATGAATAATATTCCATTGTATGTATATACCACATTTTCTTATCCATTTCTCTGTTAATGGGTTGTTTCCACCTTTTCACTGAAATTAATGCTGCTATGAACACAGCTGCATTAGTATCCGAGTACCTGCTTTCAATTCTTTGGGTGTATACATCTAGAAATACAATTGCTGTTTAAAGGGATTTTTAAAATTGGAAATTGTTAAGACTCTGATGTCCAAAAATCACCAAATGACATGGGAGAATGATCTAATATAAATATAGGCAAGTGAAAAAAGCAAAATACAACACAACACAGATCCTACTTACAGTTATATCATTTTTTATGGAAAAAGACAAATTAGTTTACATTAATAGTATAATTCACATTATACCAAACTAATCAAATTATAGTTAATTTTCCCTTTTTCTAATCTGTATTTTCCAATTTATTTACTTTATTTACTAAAAGTTCTAGGTGATCTCCTTTTTTCTCCTCAACAGATTATAAAAGATACAATTTTAATACAATGCAAGGAAAAAACCATGAAGAGACAAAACAGATTAGACCTCACATGTACTATACTTACAAATTGCCTGAACAATCATCGTGTCCACTTTATCAGCACTAAATTTCAATCTATATCGGGACAAGCTGGGGAAAGAGAGAAAATTACAAATTACTGAAATAGCACCTAGCAACAGCATTTAATTAACATCTTAAAAAAAACTTTTATCCAAATCCCTTTCCTCGAGCTATATTGTTTTATTTTCTTCTACATGGGAAAATTAGCTCAACAATAATCCAACAGTCAAGATCCAAAAATACATATTTAAAAAGAAAGTAAACATCTGTCCTGCTATAACCTGTACTTCTGTAACGTGAACTAATTTATGAACAACAAATAGGATAGCACTGTGTAGTCCAAGCCATATCGGTTCATGCATCATTTTTGCAGCATAATTAATGCTTTATACCACCAGGTAATAAGAAGTTCAGCACTACAACACCTGAAAAAGAAAGTCATGGAGGAACAAAACTGTATGTAAGAGTTTCTTAATCTTGGGGTGCTAATACCTCAGGCCTGGTTATTCTTTGTCGTGGGAGGCTACCCTGTGCGCTGTCGGATGTGTAGCAACACCCCTGGCCTCAACCCATTATGTTAGTAGCAGACTCCACCCTCCAGGTTGTACAACCAAAAATGTCCCTATACACTGCTAAATGTCTTCTGAGGGGTATTGATTGCCTCTGATTGAGAACTACTGCTGTGTACAATGCCAATTAATCTTAAATTTGGATCCTGACTCAGTTTAGCAATTTGTTCTCTCTTAGAAATGTTTATTAGAAAGTTCTTCTTGATTTTTATGCATTTTGCTCATCTCTCATCTCAACTTTAACCCCCTCATTAACCTATGCTCATTTTTAATTTGTTCAGAGGTACAAGCTTTTGTAGTATTTCTTACTATTTCTTAACATGTCTTCTAAACTGCATTAATATTTTTTAGGGTTACAAAGTTACATAGGTTTGAGTGGTATACCATTAATCTTGTTTTTTATTTCACAAATCCTATTTATTTTAGTGCAACTTCACAGAATGCCAAGCTTCTCAGGAATACATATATCACAGTTCAGCAGAAGTGTCTGTTCTATTGGACATCTGGTTAAACATGATAGGTTAACATGCTTCTGTTTGCCTCATAAAGACTCAAGAAAAACTCAATAAAAATCAGAGTAAAACGAGCAACACACACACACAAAGCAGAAAAGGAGATCATTAGTAGATGAGAAAATCTGGGGAGATGTAAAGTAGGCAGAGGAGTAGCAAATAACTTAGGAGAGAGAAAAGAGAAAGGAAAACCCAAGAACTATGGCATCTAACACTGAAGAGATAGAGAATGTGATGAGGTTTAGAGTTCAGACAATGGAGCCAAATTGCCTGGGTTCAAATCATGGCTTCATCACTTACCAGCTGTACTACTGACTTTGGGCATCAATTTCCTCATCTGTTAAATGAGAATATCACTACTATCTTTCTCATAAGATTCTTGAGGGTTAAGTCAGTATTTGTAACATGCCTCTAACAGTGCTATGTAACTGTTTATTAAACAAAAATAAGACTCTGGGGGACGGTACAGCTCAATGGTAGAGTGCTTGATGAGCATGTAAGAGGTCCTGGATTCAATCCCCAGTTCCTTCATTTAAATAAATAAGCAAAAATCCTTACCCAACAAAATTTTTTAAAAGGACTCTTTTCTAGTAAATCTCACCTGTGTGCCAACCCAAGACACATAGCAGACATTTCACGTGGTTCTACCCCAGGGATTAATCCATCCATCTGTGAACGGATTCCTCTCATAAGTTCATTAACAACAGGACTATGGATACAACTGAGATTCAGCTTTTCCTATAAGAACAAGAACATCTGCATTAAATAAATAAAGAAATTTCTCTAAAATCACTTAAATAATCAAATGGTATTGATTTAAATATATACATTTCTCAGTTTCATAAAAGCAGTTTCTAGTGTTTATGGGAAGAACACTCGAATATACTATTGGAAGTCAAAATTGGCATAAGCTTCCCAGAAGGCAGTCTGTCTACATGAATCAAAAACCATTCATAAATCAATAATACAATTTAACCTAGTAGTTTTGTTCTTTTTGCTGGTTTGAGGGATCTTTTTATTACCTTACATTATTTAGCTTCTTTTAAACATTATAAAGGTAATATACACAGATTTTAATCAACAGTACTTAAAGAGAAGGGAACTGAATGCAAAGCAAAAGTTCTGGCCTTATGTCCTTGTTCTACTGTTAGTATCTCTTGAGTACTTCTAAACATTTACCAATGTTAATATATATGTATACACATATAATAAAGCTTTATACAGTTTATGTTTTTACACACACCCCACACGAACAGGATAAATTTTGTTCTGTATACTTTCATTTTTTTCCACTTTGCAGTATATATGCTAACTCCACATAAATCTACATAGTTCTAGTTAATCAAATGCAAATGACATGCATGCATAATTGTCTGTTGCGCCATATTTTAAAGAAACAAATGTTTAGTATGTATACAAGAGCTATCCAGTGTTTTTCAAATGGAGTAACTGAAAAGAAAAAATTAAAGGTATTCATAATCCACCATTCAGCAATTTGCCCTTCTGTGTACCTTTCTCTGTATATGTTTGTTGTGCTAAAATTTAATGTTTTAACAGAAAAATATAAACTAAGACTTGTAGGCACTTCAAAGGATGAAGATAGAGCCTGTATTAGAGAAAACTTCTACCTGACAGTATTAGAAATAGTCTAAACAAACTTATTTATAATTCACAATCCTAGCTTAAAAAAAAACTTCAAATCTCTTTAGCACTTTCCTACCTTTAAACACCTATAACGTAATAAAATACTTACTTTAAGAACGAGAGGTATGGTTCATAAACCTGCACTGTTAGTACCTACTGTAATTATTTAAACTCAAAACTATCACCACTGGATCCTACAATGTTTGGGTTTTTTTTAAAAATTTTTTTTTCCTCAACTCTTTTTTTAGGGGTGGGGGGTAGGGGAAGGTAATCTGGTTTATTTATTTATTTAATGGCCGTACTGGGCACTGAACCCAGGACACGTGTATGCTAAGCATGCGCTCTACCACTGAGCTATACCCTCCCCCGAATGTTCTGCCTTTCATGTTTGGGAGTCTATGTATTTAGTCTTTCTTTCCATTGTCACTTTATGTTTAATCGCTAGCAAGTCTATCTCCTAAACAGACACATCTCTAATAAACACATACATAAAAAAGAAATGTCATGACTCTATTTATATTGAAAGAAAAACATATGTGGCTAAACAAAAATATGGCAGGATATACATAAAATGTTACCATTTTTAGGCATATTCTTAGTCTTAATAATCATATTAGAAAGCAATTATTTTGTAGCCTAGCAAAAAAGATGAAGTATTCAAGTCTAAGAACTTACGATAAACAACTCATTACAAAGGCTAGACTTTGTAGTCACTATGCTGTATGGTGAACTCTGATTAGAGGAACACTCTAACTTTACCTTTATGACACCTCCCAGTTTAGCATCAGCTACAGCCAGGGGCTCATGGGCTTCTTTAACTATTTTCTTCAGAACTTTCTTCAGCTGCTTATTGATTTTGCCCTCCATCAGAGCTGTGAATGCTTTTTAGAAAAAAGAAAAACAAAAGTGTTAACTCAAAATTTTAACTGTTAAGGGCTTAAGATCTTATTTAAACTAAAGAAAAAAACCCCCGAACCAACCCACTTCTTTCAAAAGAGTTGAATTTAACATTATTTCTGAAATGAGATGGAAAACATAAAAGTATTTTACAAGTTACACATTTCACAATCTCATCTGATCTTCCCACTCTTATTTCCACTTCAGAACCAGGAGTTAAACCAGATCCAGTGTTCCCTTTTCTGTCATACAATTCTGAACTCAGAGATAAGAATCCTAAGTTGTTATAAACAATCTATTCTAGAATGACAGATTCACTCTCCTATGTCACCAAAGACCAACTGGCCTAATGCTCTGGATTGTGAAATTCCATAAAATCCCGTCAAGACTGGTGAAAAGGAAATTTATTCATTTGGAAAGTTCTGAAACAGTGTTATTAGCATGTCTGAGTGGAGGCCTTATCTTTGTTAGTCCTTGATCCAGATATGTCATTAGGCCTCTGCTTGTAAACCTCCAGTGATGGAGAACTTACTACTGAAGGCAGCCTATTTGATTTGGAGACTGCTTTCATTTTTGGCAAGCTCTAAATGTGCTACTTTCTCTCACCCTTCCTTAGACCTATACTTAGAGCCTTTGGACCCACATGGACTAATATTAATACCTCTTCTAGTATTTGGGTTTTGGCTGAGTTTAAAGTATGTATAGCACAAAGTGTGTTACAATTTCTAAAGTCTGGGTGTTTGTGTTTTGTGCTTAATTAGCCAGGTACTTGCTCATTCCTCCTAACCAAATTTCCATTCATATAAATTACAAGTCCATTTCATCTGTTATCTGAAAGATGAAAGGTGAGGACAAAAACCATCTGGCTACCACACAGAACTCAGAGGGGTCCCCATACTCTAAGAAGCTAAGATTCAAGCTATTTTTGAGTTCTAAAATTTTACATATTGCACATCATTGACTCCTAATTTACCTTTTTATAATTGTATTCTTCCCATAAAAGTTTTGAATCTTTTATAATTAAAAAATTTTCTTCAACATCCTGCTTCTAGTTCTCAATCTTTCCTATCATTTACTTTCATGCTTTAACCTAGTGTTCTCCTTTATTTAAAGTTTCTTAAAAGTAAAATATCTTCTCTAGATCTATTCTAACATTTATAGACATTCATCTTCCTTTTATCAAAAAGCCATTAATTACTCTTCACAATATGTATTTTTAAAAGATGGTACACACAGATGGTGACAGTGACACTTCTCTACAGCACACTTTTCAGCATCACTTAGCAGTCTTCCCACTTCATCCAAATTTAGGCTGGCCCCCAATTTTACTGTGGCTATTTGTATGATTGGCACATTTTAGCTTTTGAAACCAATATAAATTAACATTACACTCCAGACTCTTAGGCTACAGGGTTTTAAATGCATATCCTGACACTTACAACCCCTCAGTTTTGGTTCTGTCATGTCAAAACTGCCTTATAACAGGCAGTGGGAAGTTAATTCCCAGGAAGGACTCTGTCATCTTAATAATAAGGGGATATTCAACTTTCTGGTAAAAACAGATGGGAAAAGGCATTGTAGATTTCTATGACCAGATTTCTGACAGCTCAACTTTCTTTCATTTGCTCTCCCCCAAAAAACAAAACAAACAAAAATATATATAGGTGTATCTTTCACTGTTTTGTTTTTTAAGTTTTTTTGGCAAGGTGGATGGGTGGGGTGGGTAATCAGGTTTATTTAATTATTTTTAATGGAGGTACTGGGTATTGAACCCAGAACCTCGTCCATGCTAAGCATGCACTCTACCATTTGAGCTATATCCTCCCCTCATTTATCCACAAGTATTTTTATGTGCTAGAATCTGGGGGTTTGATGGTGAATAACAGTCTCTGACCTTAAGGAACTTAGAGTTAAGAGAGTCAGGAATGACTTTAAATTCTCATCTAGAATGGCATTTCCTCCACTTATCTTACATTATTTTAAGGAATACTAAAAGCTCAATAGAGAAATGAGATTTATGAAATTATATCTGTTGTCCCATCACTAGGACCAGCTGAAGGACGTAATAGTCATCCATTCTTCAAGATCATAAAAAAATCATGCCCCTTTTTAGATACATTTATGCCTCTCTGTAGTTTTTGTATTTGAAACTCCCCCCAAAAAACTATTAGTTTTCTTTAATCTTTTAATAATAGTGTGCTTTTTTGAATAAAAAAAGTATATACCTGGAGAGCTGCTTTATTATTATTTTAACTCTAAATCCTGGCTATTCTCAACTTTACCCTTAGATTAAAATAATCAGAGAGCTGTGTACTTGACCACATTACCTTGGTCCCTTGTAGAACAGCTTTTACTGAACTGTGCTTCAGCATTATGCTGTTGGTTTCCACAGGGAGATCAACTTAACCACTTCTCACCTCTCATCACATGGGGGGAAAACCAGCCCTATAGTGAAAAAAGCTAACTCAATGTTGTCTCAGTGGTAGTGACGAATTTGAGTTAGATCACTTAAATTCAGTTCCAGAAAGAATGCATCATTGACAACATTGAGTAAGGTTAACTTAGGCCACTGAAGCAAACAGTCTTTTAATAAGGATAACAAATTGCCAATTTTAAAAAATAAAAAAGCTAGTCTTTGACTTTACCTGCCAATGCCTCTGCTGTATCCTGAAATTTCTCAAAATGTTTCAGCTTTACTCTAGAATTAAGGAAAGAAAAAAGTTATGGGTGCACACTGATTTTGCAAAAGCCACATATTTAGGAAAACAGATGTTAAACTGTTTCCAAAGCATATACCAATAAAAGAAACCTTCCTGTCATTGGCTATTGGTGCCAACTTAGATGTTCTTCATGAAACGACCAATTTCTCTAAATGTTAGGCTAGTAATGTATGAACTATTACAGAAGTTGTAGGCTTTGAAGGAAACTTTGAACAACAACAAAGAGGTCTGCTACCACATCTAAACCACAGGAAAGATGTTGAAGCTTCAACATAACCTCTGCTGCTTAAAGTTGGACACAGATGCCTTTCACTATACAGCACAGAAGTAGCTTAGGAAAAGGTGCAAGAGTCTCTCTTACATCAGGATCTCATGACACTGATTTGTTCATCCAGTACAAGTGCAATTAAAAAACAGCTAACTGTGAAATCTAATTCCTGTTACCCTTACTTTACCCTCTTACTCCCTATTCACTTATGTGCAGGGCAATGTTATTTTATATCAAACTAAGTTAACTCATTGTTGTCTCAGTGGTAGTGACGAATATCTGAGTTAGATCACGTAGATTCAGTTCCAACAATACATCATCGACAACAATGAATCAGGTTAACTCCGAAAACTGAAGTATGCAGCCCTTTAAAAAGGTAAACGAAGTCTTCCATTTTGTCTAAAATAGTGTTATCTAAAGCAAGATTTTCTTACCTGGTCAGGGAACACCCTGGGGGTACGTTAAGTGTATACTTAACAATACAAAGATTTTTAAAAAATGTATCAATTTCATCTTATTCTGCCTCACTTCATCCCCATTTCCACTAGTCTGAAGTGGCATTTGTTCTTATTTCTCTATACTTGCATAAACGCATATACGGGTGTACACCACCACCTGCAAAAATGGGATCATGCTGTATAAATTACTCTGAGGCATGGTTTTCCAGTATGTCATGCTTCTCTAATTGTTGAGTATGACATCTCTTTGGGTTCAATACTCTTTAGCAAGCTTAAGTAGTTTCCTTCTATTCTAGTGAGTTTTTATTAGCACTAGCAGATAAATTATCAAATGTCCTTTGGCAACCAAAGACAATCAAAAGATCAGTTAGGTCATTCCTAGGGTCATACTCACCAAATGGGCTATTTCACAAGGTGATCCACAGATGGTGGAATAGCCATCCTGACTCTACCTTGAGGCAAAGCCAGCTCTCTCTCCGATCACTCATTTCTTAAGCTGGGCATCAAGGTTATACTCTATTTTCTCACCAGAGACCTTGGGGAACACAGGTATGCCTTTCCAGGATTTACTAGCTAGTTATTTTACTACTCCGGGGGAGTTAAGAAATGAGTCATAAAGAATGAATAAACCATAAATGAAGTAAAAAACATCCGAATACCACTAATTTAGAGAAAGTATAAATTAAACCAATAAGCAGCCCATGCTTTTGACAATTATTACTTTTAACAAAAATTTATACTTAATTTATAATCAACTTGTACTTTCATAATATTTCACAAAATAGTAATTCTGGGTGCTGTCCAATTTAATCTGCAATTAATACAAATTAGTTGGGATGGCCTATGCTTCAAACATGCAATCTAATAATTAGGCTCATGCCAATATCATTCCTGAAAGACTTCAAAACAAAATTATGAATATTTTATGGACAGTAGGGGGGGGGACCACACAAAACAAAACAAAACCAAACACCCCTAAATGTCAACTCTAAGTTCTTAGTTTCAATATGACTCTGACTTACATTTTATTTGCTTTCTCTGGAGTTTCAAATTCTTTCCACAAACTATCAACCTCTTGGAGTTTCTTCTCATTCAAAACCTGTAATAAATATTTAAAAAAAAACTTTAAAATTCAAACGGCTTAGGCATATATAGCTATATATTTCAAGTATAACTGTACAAGCAGAATGAGGATGGTGGGAGTTATTTTTCTCTCTGAAATAACAAACCAGTTTTCTTATCCAGCATAAAATTTTGGTCAAATTGATAGCTCAAGTAGCCCATTTAATAACTGGATGGAATTTAAGTCTGGATGGGCTTTTGTTAAATTTCCTATTTTTTAAGAAGCCCCCTAACCCCCTCACAAAGTCTATCACATTTGCAGATCAAAATAATTTATCTGCCTACTTTCTATGAAATAAATTTTGTTATTTATTGTTATGATCATTCTAACAGGAAAGAAATATAGATTTCTCTAAAACTAAGACACCATTCGTTCTAAGATGCATCCTGATGTAAGCAATTTTAACATGCAAATAGGAAAAAGAGGCCCTTTTAAATCTATGAAACACAGTCATTAATATTTAGGTATGTGTTCTTCAAGACTCTTTGTCTATTCTACATTTTTTAATGCATACTTTTAGGAATCATGCTATACACTTACTGTATCATGGACATAATTCTAGGTTTTAACAAGAATTGCACTGTTTGAGTATACTATCATGTACGCCCTTATTATTAAATCTTTAGGTTTCTAAATTTCCATTATATCTGTAAGAAATACTTACCCATCAGAAACATATACATATTTTTGTATGTATACATGTTTTATTTCTATAGAGCTAATTACTGGAAGTGGAGTTAAATGATCACATAAGAAATAAAGGCTGACAGATTATCATCAAAATGCCTTCAAGAGATTCTATTAGTCTCACATAAATCAAGAATAGGGGGAGGGTACAGCTTAAGTGGTAGAGCACATGCTTAGATTGCAGGAGGTCCTGGGTTCAATCCCCAGGTACCTCCTCTAAAAATAAATAAACCTAATTACATCCCCCAAATAAAAAAAAATTAAGTAATACAATAATAAATACTTCCAAAAAAGAGTGAATAAAATGTTTTATTTTCCTACACCTTCATCAATACTCTATGTGATAAGTCAAATACCCAAGTATAAGCTAGGGTAGGATCAATCCTAAAATACATTTCCCTTCATATTTAACATCCTTGAAACTGGGATGTCTTACAATTGATGGCAGGTCAGTTTAATTAGCAGTGTAAAATAATGGCATATTAAATTTGATGAAATATACTATTTATAGATATCACACATATTTTTGCATGTATTTTATCAATGTCAACTAATTAATGAAAAACTATACCGTTAAGCCATATTTCATCAAATCCATATCACAGAATATCTACACAGTAAGACTTATTACTCAGTTATAGCCTAGTACATATTTCCATGATGAATATGATACTGTAAGTTGTAAAACACCTTTATTTTCTGTCAGACAAGTGTGGTAAGACGGTTTTAAGAAAAACTTACTGCATTTGAATTTAATTCCACACAGCTCAATTAAATATATTTACAGAAATGGAAAAATAAGAATCAGAGTAATGAAGCAGTAAGTAATTGCAAAGCATACTACCGTATATCAAAAAATTACAAGTCACTAACAGTTCTACTTGTATGTCACGAAAACTTTAGAATCCAAAGACATTCCATCAAATCTCATGAATGCACTGAAACTTTAATTCAAAGTTATTTTGTGTGTGCGTGGCTTTTAAAAAATTTTTTAAATGGAGGTACTGGGGATTGGACCCAGGACCTCATGCATGCTAAGCATGTGTTCTACCACTGAGCTATACCCACCCTCCTCAAAGTTGTTGTTGTTGTTATTACTATTATTATTATTTTGTTAAAGGATATTCACAGAATAGTCCTGATTTTTGGAAATAGTTTACTCAGAGAACACAGTTAACCATACCTAATGTTCACTGATTGTTGAGTGGATACGTACCAAATACGGGACATGATTCATGAGTAAAATTCACATTTTTTCTAGTTGAAAAGCAAGTATATTTGAAAATAACATTTGGATAACAAAATAGGCATATTTAAGAAAGAGTATCAGTATTCTTAAAGTAACAAAGGAGATGTATTGAAATCCTGTTGATTCACGGCCACTCAGATGTCTCCAAAGACTTTGTTATGGCAAACAAAACCTTGGCTACTGTATGTTCTCATTCATGCCACAATATACTGAAAAGAATATTACTAATAAAGTCTGAACAAAAATGTAGAAATAACTGCTACATTTTCTGCTATACCTGTCTCAAATATTTAATCATTTATTTTTGGATAGTGAAATCTGAAACATTTGTATAAAAAATCCATTTGAAGTTTTAGAATTTTGGATTAAGACGGAGTAATTTCCACTTCCAAGTAGAAATGGTATAGCTGTTGTTACCATTAAAATCTTTAGCATTGCTATTATATTTTGGCTACTTCCAATACAATAGGCACTATATGTACCTATTTACATTTACAATAGATGAGTTATATAGTATGTTAAGTTATACCCAATAAAGCTGGAAATATATATTGGTCAGTATTCATGTTATAACTTTGCTATACACATAAAAACTCTTCCTTGAGCCCTTAAGAAATAAAGGAACACACAACACTACGCTGCACAGCTGCACTGTACAATGTGACTACTAAAAATTTAAATAAATTAAAATTAAAAATTCATCTCCACAGCTTTACTAGCCGTATTTCAAGTGCCAAATAGCTGTATGTGGCTAGTGGCTACCATATTGAGCCTCACAGCTACAAAAGGTACGGGATGAGTAAGACTAAAGGACATCTAGTCTTATTCTGTGTGCCATGAGACATAAGGGACACAGGCTTGAGTTTCTGCAATATTCTAGAAATGGTAATAGTTTTTAGGGATTGTCTTTGCATTTATACATAACTTTGTTAACAAGGAATATTTTTGGAAAGTTTTAAAATTCTTTTTAAGTCACTGCATATATTGGATCATGATATAAAATGTATTTCTCACTGTGAACTGAGGTAAAAATGTTTTAAAAAACTTTCTTAAAGCACTCTCATGAAAGCATGAATTTTATGCTACCAATATAATTTTATACCGCAGCACTTTAAAAGGTTATGGGAAAGGGCACTAATAACCCTGTATTGCACATCTATATATTTTACATACCATAATATTCACCCCTTTAAGGTGTACAGTGTACTTTTTAGTAATTTTCACAAAACTGTGGATCACCATTTCCACAATATTCTGTATGTCTATTTCATTCAGAAAGAATAAATGCTACTAACTCAAAATATTTATAAGCAAAACAATATTTCAATATACGCAAGCTTTTAATTATTTCTAATAAACCATAAACCATAATTTAACAATTTTGAGCAGTAACTTGCAGATAAATAACATTAAAAGCTGCAACAGAATACTCAAGACTTATTTTTGTGGAGAATACTCTTTATTGATCGAAATCAGTAATGCATCAAGAGACATACTTTATGACTCAGGTCTTGGAACCATACAATTGCTAAGCCAAATCCTTCCCACCATTAGAGGCACCAAGTGGACAGTGCAGTTACCCCTCTCCACTTATCCTGATCAGTAGACATCAATTTAAATGAAATTCATCCACAGACACTGATTCAAAATACAACAGATCATGCTTACCAAGAGAATTTGGGGGCATGTTCAGAACTCTATTTAAAAATTCAGAAAAGATTGAAAAAAGCTGGGGAAAAGCCTTATAGACCTGTTTCCCGGCTCTAAAGTCCTTTAAGGTCCCTTAAAATCGCTAATGCTGTAATTAAAGGCAACTGTAATGAGAGGAAAAATTAGCAAAATCAGTATTTGGTTTCTAATTACCTTATTTTTAAAAATACCAATATTTAATGTAGCAAATGCAAATAGAAGTGTGTTTTTAAACGTCATAAAAGAAACTTGGAAAATAAAATGAAAAATTCCCCAAATCAACATTTTTGTACATACCCCTCCAGACTCTCTTGCACCCATACTACATAGTTTGATTCACAACCAGAATCATACTATATCTCTTTTAATCTAGCATTTTTTGCCTTATTAGCATACATATGAAAATTCTGTTTTTCGTTGCTATATTCGCAGAGCGCAGAGTGCCTGATACTTGGGATAGCATTCAATTTACTAATTTTTCCTAACACCCGAATAGCATCCTACTACACGAATGTCCCATTGTTCAATCACATCCTTGCTGATAAACTTGTAAGTTAACTTCAAACTTTTCCTATTAAAACAAACAAATCTCAAATGGTTTCCAGCCCAGATTTCTCCCCTAAGCTTCAAACTTGAAATGACCCTTGCATTTCCACGTCTAACCAGACATCACAAGCTTCACACTGCCCAGACTGGAACTCCTTAGTATCCTCCCCACCCCGACTCCCCAAATCCCTAAACCTTCTCTTCCCTACCACCACGCACTTACTTAAACCAAAAACTCACAATTCTTCAATCCATCGGCCAATCCCGTCAGTTCTACCTTCAAATTTTCTCCCGGTATTTCCTTCCCTCCATACTAACTTTGATCCAAGCAACTTCATCTTATCTAGATTAATGTAAAAATACCCGTGCTTCCTTTCTTGCATCCCATCCCCTGTAATCCAGCCTGCGCACTGTAAAGTCTTTAACTTCATTAAAAGACAAAATTAGATCAGGTCATTCCTCTGTTAAAACCTTTCAATCATTCCTCAAAACTCAAGACAAAATCCTAACTCTCTATCACAACGTGCAAAATTCTAATACAGCTCCTGCCTACCACTCTAGGCCAAATTCTCGAACAGAATCCGGCGCCCCAAACCGCGGGACCACGTGTTCACCGAAACACATGCCTCCCAGGCCCAAAGTCTTCCCTTTCCTTTCGGACCAGGGGGACAGAAAGGTACCCATGAGATCCTGAGTCGTGCAGTTCTCTCCTTAGGTCTTTCCCTCTCCTCTCTTGCCCAACACCCGCCTTCCTCCTGCAACCGCTCAATCTCCCACCTACCTTAAAGATGGCGTAGCCGACGGACGTTTCAAACAGCACCAACATGGTGAGGCCGGGTCAGGGCGCTGCGCGGCCCGCCGCAAGCTTTTAAACCAGTGAAAAGACACCAAATATTCGGCCGCTACAGGCCTGCAAGGCCGCAGTTGGCCAAACACCAAAACGCGCGTTTTCCCGCAAAGAAGGGGACCACGTTGCCGAAACGTTCCACACTGCACCGTACGCAGGACGCACCAACGCGCTCCTCCTTCCTCAAGGCTTCTGGGATATGACCTCACTTCCGGCAGGTGACGTGCCGCATAGTGCGCCGTGGCTTCCGGTGTGTTCCCGCCATAGAGGACAAAGAAAATATCGCGAGGTTTCTTAGAGAACGAAACGAGATTTTACGCGAGTAGGCTGCACAGCTATATGACAGGGAAAAACTTAGCTTTTTACTATTTTTTTTTTAAAGCTCCCGTATATAATGTATTTTACCTTTCGAGAAGTGCGGAGCTGTCTCGTCTGTTTGCCTCAAGCATGTGGAATTTGGGAAATGCTAGCCGCTAGACTTTTCTCCCCGGATAGCGCTACCTTGAAGTCCTTAGAATGAAACCTTAACTGTCACTGTGTATGCGAACACTCGTAGTAGTTCTCTTCTCTTTGGCCAGACTGATTTTTAGCATCAATGTCTTTCATCGATGTAGGCCTTTCCCGCAGGGAGTTTAGGGTATGTATTTAGATTTTATGTCCTTAGTGTAATTTGCTTTTCTGGGACCTTAGAGTCTCAGTGACTATTTAAATACAATTATTCCACAAGTTTGGCTTCCAATAGGGGTAAAATTTCCTTTGCCACTTCCCAGGCCATGTATGCGGATTGCTTGTAAATGTTCATTTGCAAGCTGCTGAAAGTTAAGGAATACTAAGTATCTTGATTTTCTCAAGCAGCTCTACAACCTGGGATCAAAAAGAATGAAAATCCTGGACTGAATAGCAGAAAAGATGAAACTGGGAAAAAGTCAAGGAATAAGGGAATGGGAGGGAAGGTGTAGCTCAGTGGTAGAGTGCTGCACTTAACATTAGCATGCAGAAGGTCCAGGGTTCAATCCCCAGTCCCTCTGTTAAATCAATAAGCCTAATTATCTCCCCCCACCAAGTAAATAAAAACAAAAATATTTTTTTAAAAGGATAAGAAGGTAATCTAGAGTACAGACAAGAGCATTGTTGATTAGAGCCGTTGGATCCAGTGTGTTCAGGGAGGCAAGAGAAACCGAACCAGCTTGACAGGGAGAGGTGGTGGGTGGGTAGGTGGAAGAAGTGGAAGAACTATGTCTGTTTATAGTGTTATATAATTTAACAAATTTTTTTTCTAGCCTCCTTATTGGAAGTGCCATCTTCTAGGGAGTGCAGTCTGTATCTTACACTTAATTCTATCAAAACAGGGTATCGTACCTGCTAGTCATGAAGTAGGCTCTCATTAAGTAGTTCTTAAACATTTAATGAACTAATGTTTGCAAGAAGTAAAATTATTTTACTTCCGTCTAAAGCTTGCATCCTTTACACAAGGAAAAATGAAACCAGTTATTCAGCGAGAAACATCATTACTGTGGCATCTCCTAGAAGTTGTCTTTTCACATTGTAATTTATGTAATTAGCTCTGTGATGCATTAGTCAGGGGTTCAGAGATTCTTCTGATTTCAGATTTGGATCTTGGCCAAATACAGTAATTGTCTGAAAATTTCCTGTTACAAGAGAAAAACAAGAGATTCAGTACTTTATTAAACAAAGTACTAGGTCAAGTGGAAATAGCATAAAGTATGAGGAGGAGAATATGGGAGAGTTTAGATATCCCAGAAAAAGGGCTTATAATTTTACTAGTGGCTTAACATGATGAAATGACAAAAATAAACATGGTTCTTTGGTTCTCTCCCCATCCTCCAGCCTCATCTTTGTCCCAGCTAGAATAAGCTCCATGAAAATTTATTTCTGGGTCAGTACTAAGCTAGTATCTGGCGTATAGTAGGGGCTCCATAAATATGTATAGTGAATGAGTAAATGAATGACTGGAATTAATGAATGATGGGATCCAATTATTTCAAGGTTCTAAGAGAACCTCCAAGTAATTTTTGAGACCCACTGATATTAGTAAAAGATTTCCTTTTACTCAGACCTCCCGTGTGCCTTGTAACAGGAAGGAGATTTTCTGGATCTTTCATGTAGTTCATGTAGTGAACATCTTTCATGTAGTCAACAAATATCTCTACTCTCTGCCAGGCATTTTTACAGGCACTAAGGATATAGCAGTGAACAAAATATGGAAAAACCTCCATACTTCATGGAACTTATATTGTAGTAAGAGGAAACAGAAAATGCATAACTATTTAGTATATTAGATAATATAGATGCTATGGAGAGAAATAAAGCAGGAAAGGAAAATGTTTTAAGATAATTAGGAAAGGCCTCATTGAAAAGGTGACATTTGAGTAAAAGAAGATACCTAGAGGACAAAAGGCAAACAGAACAACAAATTCAAAGACACCAAGGCAGAGAGGATGTGGAGAAAAGGGAAAATAAGAGTAACATTTACCTCATAGAGATGTTGTGACTATCAAATAAGATAATTTTTTTGTTTGATGTAACTTAGTGCTCAGTAAATGGACTTTTTTTAAAATTTGCAATTCAAATAGACCAGAGGAGGGAGGTATCAAGGAAGAAACTAAAGAAATATGGAATAAAATTGACCCTGCCTGCTTCCACTAAGGGTCAGCATACACACCACATCCTACAGATAGGAAACAAACTGGCACACAAACCACTTTGCACACTGAAAAAAAACCCCAAAACAAAACACCACAAAACCAAGGTCTAGTTCTGAATCCCAAACTAAGTGAAACCTTGAGCTTTTCTTAAATTACTGAGTCTCAAACAAAAACGACTCTATCCCTGACTTTTGCAATGCTAACATTGGAGGATATGGCAAAAGCTTTACAGATCAGATAATCATGTGGGAAAACTGCTATTTTCCCTCTATTTACAGACTGTTAACTTGATAACCGTGGTAACTTTATGAGTATTTTCCTTTTAATACACGTTTGTACATTTATTCTGTTTTGTGGTGAGCAAACTTTTTAAATACTGGCCTCCTTAATAACTTTCTTGGCAAATCATTTTTTTTTTCTAAGTGACTTTCTCTTTTAGTCTTCTTTTGGCAGTTTTAGAGATTCCACCGAAAATTCTGGCTGTATTTTATCTATCAGATCTGAGTACACTGCATTGCCAGAGAAGGGAACCAGTAGGCTATTTTCATCTAGACATAATCTTCCTGATTCCTGAGTTCACTCTCATGTGGCAATAGAGCTTTACTCTGATTAAACCTCTTTCTGTGTTTCTGGTTCTATGTTTTGTGGCCAAGTCTGGATGTAGTTCTGGTTTTGATTTGTGCACAATTGCTGGTGGCAGAAACATGGAATCTGGCATTTATTTGTTTGCTTGTTTATGATATGACTATTTGGTCTATGCCAGATGGCAGACAGATACAGGGAATTTGGTCACAATTGGATAGTAGAAGTCAGAGTATCCATCTGTTTATGTTTTTTTTTTTTAATTATTGTTTGTTGGTTTGCCTTTCTTTTTTTGTCCTGGCACTCTGTGTTGTTTGTCTTGTCTGAGGGTCATTATGAGTCAAAGAACTAAAAATATTTTATGTATCTGTGAATAGAAAACAGATTTTTGAGATCTGGAACTGCTATAAGCAACTGGTGAGTATTGTGCTCTGTGTTTCAACCCTTGGCTGAAGTTAGAGAACCATGGCTACTGGTTTTTTGTTTGTGTGTATAAATGAAAAAAGCCTTTTCCCTCCCTGCAAAAGAAAAGTAGCTAGCCTTTATAATGATTAGCTTATACTTCTGTATCTGTGGCTACCTACCCTCTCTCTGAAAACTACTGGAGATTAATTGGTCATAAAAATCTGTCATTGGTATTCAATCAAAAAGATCACCATCAAAGGGGAGAAAATGTATACAAGGAAAGAAAAAATAGGAATTCTTTTCATATGATGTATGGTAAGTAATTTGACCTTGCCCAAAGAGAGAGAAGACCTTCACAATATTTACCCAGTGGGATTTCAGAATTGCTATGGCCCAGTGAGTACTATGTGTCTTCAGTTCTTCCTTGTTCTTTTTTTTTAATGGAGGTACTAGGATTGAACCCAGGACCTCATGCATATGTGCTCTACCACTGAGCTATTTCCTTCCCCACTTCCTTGTTCTAAATGAGAATGTTTTTCCCAGTCTTCCTGTGTTCCCTGCATTACCATTGGATGTGGGTATGTCTTGGTGAATTATTTGTCTTTTCAATTCATAGGTAACCAGACCATAAAGAGTCATATCTGAGCCTGAGGAAGAAAACGACATCACCTGGAGAGCAAGAACTTTGAGCTGGATATATTACCTTGGGCTGTCCTCTTTGGGGATGGAAATAGCATTATCTGTACAAAGAAAAAATAGTAAACAAAACATATGGTAACAAAAGGAGCTGACAGTGCCACAGGCTGACTAGATGGCCCGCACTCTGTCTATGGAGTGTATATCTACTTTTACCTTAACCTGAGCACCTAACCCCCACACCTCGTGGCCTTTCTCTTGCCTTCTGAAAGAGCCTACACTCTAAGCAGTATTCATCTCTCTAAATAAATCTGTCTTTACTCAACTGTGTCTTGCCCTTGGAAAGCCTCACAAGAGATTGAGTTATAGGCTTATTTAGCCCTTTAAAAAAAAAGCATACTATTTTTTTAAGTTTAAACTAATATATATATATTTGGGAGGGGTGTGTGTGTGTAGAGGCAGTAGTTAGGTTTATTTATTTATTTTTAAAGGAGGTACTGGGGATTGAATCCAGGACCTTGTGCATGCTAGACATGTGCTCTACCATTTGAGCTGTACACTCCCCTCTAAACTAATTTATTTATTTATTACTTTTTGGGAGGTGAGATTATATAACTTTTATTTTCCTCCTTTAAAAATTTTTATTATTTATGGAAGTGTAGTTGACTTACAATGTTAATTTCAGGTATACAGCAAAGTGATTTTGTTATCCATATCCATACATAAACATACATATTTTTCAGATTCTTTTCCACTATAGCTTATTATAAGAAACTGAATATAGTTCCTTGCGCTATATAGTAGGTCTTTGTTGTTTATCTATTTTATATATAGTAGTGTATATCTGTTAATCCCAAACTCCTAATTTATCCCTCCACCACCTGCTTTCCCCTTTGGTAACCATAATTTGTTTTCCATGTCCATGAGTCTATTTCTGGTTTGTAAATACAATTTGTACCTTTTGTAAGATTCCACATATAAGTGATATCATATGATATTTGTCTTTCTCCACCTGACTGACTTCACTTAATATGATGATCTCTAGGTCCATTCATATTGCTGCAAACAGCATTGTTTCATTCTTTTTCATGGCTGAGTAATATTACACTGTGTATGTGTGTGTGTGTGTGTGTATATATATACATACACACACACACACACCACATCTTTATCCGTTCATTTCTTGATGGACATTTAGGTCGTTTCCATGTCTTGGCTATCGCAAATAGTGCTGCTATGAACATGGGGGTGCATGTGAAAAGAACACTGTTTTTATGTGATAGAACAAATGACAGGCCAATAGTGGTTTTTCAGACTTGGAAATATAGCAGACATTGCCTCAAAAAATGAACAGATGAGCCTAACCTTTAATAAAAACAACTGACAATATTTGTTGTCAGTGACAAAATTTGAGCCTTCACACATAAATTAGCATTTTGGAAAAACTAATTATCACTGTGAATTTGACAGTTTCCCAATACTTAAAGACTTCTTCTGATAAATCTCTGAAAACAATGAGTGTGATATTTAGATATTGTATAATGAAATGTGTCAATATTTAGTAGCTCTGCATAACTCAGTGAATCAGTGTTTTCTAAATGACCAATTCATGATGTTACAAAATTATGCACGGGTAAAAGGTCTATCCAAAGTGCAAGATAGACCAATGGATTTTTTTATGTAACAGGGGATAAAAAGTTCATTGATATGGTTTCAAGCTCCATATTTCAATTAAGAAACTATACTTGTCAAGTCTGGGTGTGCTATGAACAAAAGTATTTACAATTATGTGAAAAAGCTATTAAAATATTCCTCCTCCCCTCCCCCAATTACATGTCTGTATGAGGCTGAATTTTCTTTACGTATTTCAACCAACTGCAACCAAGATGGCAACAACTTAATGAAGAAGTAGATATAACTATCCTGCTGTTTTCTATTACTCAGGCATTAACAAAATTAAAGACATTTGCAAAAAATGAAAAACACTGCCACTTTACTCACTAGCTTTTTTTGTATTTGGAAAACATGGTCATTTTCATATAAGTATGTTATTTATGCTACTATGTAAAGGACTTACTATTTTTCAATGAATTAATACATACTTAAAATTTTTCTCAGTTTTAATTTTGTTTTTGTTAGTGGAAGTATTGGGGATCAAACCCAGGACCTTGTGCATGCTAAGCATGCCCTCTACCACTGAGCTATACTCTTCCCACTTAGTTTTAATTTTTAATATGGTAAATATCAATAGATATAACACACATAAACAAAAGCTGTTTGGGGTCTTCAATAAATTTAAGTTTAAAGGAATCCTGCGACAAAATGTTTATAAACTGCTGCTCTAGCTTATTTCAATTTACCCTTTGGATTTCAATTTAGATGTTATTTTATATTTCTGGAAGCTTTTTCATGACCATTCTGGTTGTATGTGGGGGTCTTATTATTGAATTATAATAGTTCTTCATATATTCTGAATATTAGACTTTTATCAGCTTTATTATTTGCAAATATTTTCTCCTATGCCTTAGGTTGTTTTTTCAACATGAAAGATAAAAGTTTTTAATTTTGATGAAGTCCAATGTATTTTTCTCTGGTTGCTTGTGCTTTTGGTGTCGTATCTAAGAAGCCACTGCATAATCCAAGGTCAGGAAGATTTATACCTACGTTTTATTCTAAGAGTTTTATAGTTTTAGCTCTTACATTTAGGACTTTCATCCATTTTCAGGGAGTTTTTCAAAAGTTGTGAGATCGTGATCCCAATTCATTCTTTTATGTATGGATATCCAGTTGTCCCAGTAGCATTTATTGAAAGTCCTCTTTCACTATTGAATTGTCTAGGCATTCTTGTGGAAAATTAATTGATGTGTGAGGGTTTATTGATTTATTCTGGAATCTCAGTTCTCTTTCATTTATCCTTACGCTCTACGCTTTTATACTTTAAAGAATTCATAGAAGGACCATTCTTTAACTTACAGCAACAGAATTCAAAGGTCAGAATTAGCTCTTCTTCCCTACCAGTTTGTAACTTTCAGCAGCATCTTTTTCATCAGTAGTTATTAAAACTGTGTCCAACGGGATCGTGTTTTGTTTTGCCTTTTTTTTTTTTAAATTTAGGTTATGTGTTTCGCCTGGATAGTTAATCAGAAATGTTAGCTGTAGGGAAACAGGCACTGGTATTCAGCTCAATTATTTATGGAGGTTGACGAGCAAGGCCAGGAGGAGACAACAGAAGTACGCTGGCTCTGCCTTCAGAAACCTGAAAGGTGTCGGAGGGGGAGGAGGAATCTGGGCTGTCAGTACGGTTCCAAACGCTGAGACTGGGCACCCGGAACTTTTCCGTAGAGAGACGGGCTCGGGACCAGGTGCAGGGTCTAGTCTCGGTGGCGCTGAGGGCACTGTTGTTAGCTCATTGGCGCGACCACGGCTATAGCAGCTCTCCGCCTCCCGCCTCCGGGCTGCCCCCCTCCCCCCGACTCGTTTTCCCGCCTCGCCTTTCCCCTTTTCCCTATCCCTCCTCGCAGCGCGTAGCGGAAGTGACGCCAGGCGTAGCGGAAGTCCCTCCGGCCGCGGTGTTGTGCTGTGGGGAAGAGAGACGGATTTGTAAACCCCGGAGCGAGGTTCTGCCTACCCGAGGCCGCTGCTGTGCGGAGACCCCGGGTGAAGCCACCGTCACCATGTCTGACCAGGTACCGGGCTGGGAGCCGTCCGATGGCGGTGGCCGAGGCCTTGCTCCGCAGGTCCGCCTGCCGCTCGGCTGGGGCC